AAGAGTGGTCATTTTCTATTTTCCTAAAGTGGGGAGGGAGAGAGGGCAATAAGGGTTGAAAAACCACCTATTGGGTATCATGTCCACCAACTGGATGACGGGCTCAATAGAAGCCCAAGTCTCACTATTACACGATATACCAATGTAACAAACCTGCACATGTACCCTTTAATCTAAAATAAAAATTAAAAAATTAAACACAGTGGTAAAACCCATGGGAATTTTCTCCAAAACACCAGGAGTCTTTAACCTGGTTAGTTATGACACTGATTCTTCCTGAGGGCTGTGTTTATTACACCAAATAAGTCATCTAGTTTGATTTCCTTTATTGTTTTAAAATTAAGATGGATGTAAGCAGGAGTTAGCAACAGTTTCTATTCTAGGAAGCAGGTGACAAATGTGGGAAAACTTAAACACAGGGGGAATATACATGGAATAAAGTCCCTTCTACCTTTTTCTCTTTTTAAAAAAATAATCTTTGGATAGGCTGGAGAGAAAGATTTTTCCTACAGGCAGTTGAATAGGTCAGAAACTATGGCATTTACATTACAATATTTGGGAAGTATGCAAAACTGTTTTTAAATAGTCAGTATAAGAAGTATTTAAGTACTTTATGGAACAAAAAGCTGGCTCTGTATGTGAGCAGTTTTTTTCCTATTTAAAAATTGGATTATCTCCTTGTATAAACATGGAACAATGTGAGGGTTTCACAGTCTTCATAAATGTATACATTTAGATCTGCTCATGTTGGGGTTACCATTAGCACCAACAATCTGTCAGCATTTCCACAGGGTCTTTTAAGTATGTTGTGAAAGTTCAAGCCAACACTCTACATGAGTTATGCATGGCAGTTTCTAGCCAAGCCTTATGGGATCGTGTGCGTTTTAACTTTAAGCTTACTTTTCTTTTGGCATTATGTAAGAGTCTTATGGAGCAAAAAAATTTTTTTTTCTTTCACGGATTAAAGGAGGTGGCTAATTATTTATTTAGTGGAGAAAATACAGATTTTTAAAAAAATTTTATTTCAGATTCAACAGATCCTGTAACCCAAATAGTGATACCCAATGGGTAATTTTTCAATCCTTGCCCCTCCTCTCTCACTCTCTTTAGGAGTCCCCAGTTATCTATTGTCCTCATCTTTATGTCCGTGGGCAATGGGTGTTTAGCTTCCACTTGTATAAGGGAGAACATGCGGTATTTGGTTTTCTGTTCTGTGTTAATTTGCTTAGGATAGTGGCCTCCAGCCACATCTGCATTACTTCAGGAGATTATTTCATTCTTCTTTATAGCTGTGTAGTATTCCATGGTGTACACGTGTCATATTTTCTTTATCTAGTCCAACAAATGACTTCATTTATAGAACCTAGGGTATGATTCTTCCCTTGTTTCTAAAACGTTATCTCTCTTTGGAAAAATGAGTAATACCCATGCATTCTATATTTTGCTTCAACTTCAGCAACTAATTAATGTTATTGGTGTCAGCAGTTGTACAAACTGAAGAGCTTGGGATTCTGATGGAACATTTCACTCACCTTGTATGTGACGAGTATGTTCTGATCCTTAATTGTACTTGTTTTTCATTTTCAGAATTAACACCTAGTACAGGGATATGCATTGAGATTTTTGCATTAAAGAGTTTGTAGGGGCAAAAGAGGATTAACTGTTACAGGGCTTGTCTTCTCAAGGTGAGCATGAATTATAGGAAGTGCCTCATCATTTGGGGAATTGTGTGTGCTAAATTGAGCGCTCACAATTTTGATTTCTGACTGGGATCTATAGATAGCTACTTTTTTCTTGTGCCATGTCTTTTTACTTGACCTTGGGTATGAATGACTTTTTGGAAATGTTTCTGGAGAATTTCCAAATTCCATTTATTTTCTTTGAATCCTGTTCTGCTGGAACTTTTCACTCTGGCATAGACTGGAATATGGCTGCTTCTTAGTTGATCAGTGTGTAGAACTGACATGTGAAGTTTCTGATTTTAGCTTTCATGAGCCTCTCTTATTGGCCTTGAGGATTAGGACCTGATGGGTGCTGACTCAAAACAGTAATAATAATAATAATAATAATAATACCAACAACAACAACAATAAAACACTCAGTGTACCTTGCATTGCTGTTACTGTGCATTCAGAAGTTCCCCTGGAATAGCTGTGGTTCCAACCACCAGATGTGCAACCCCCCCATTTGCTTCAGCTGCTTATGTTTTTGGTGAAATACGTTGACAAGACACTGCTTTGTCTCAAGGTAAAATGTGTTAAATCAAAGTTATTTTTCCTCTGATGACTACAGTGATAGTTGGCTTTGGTGTATCCTTTCAATCTCTTCTAGTCTGGCAGATTGTCTTGAATGTTGATGATGCCTGCAAGTTGTTAAGTTAGGGGGAGAGAGAATATGTTCATGTTCTAGATGGATCTGTCGTGCCTTCAAACAGAACCATATAAAACTCCATCTACATTTATTTTGCAACCATAGCTGGGTTCATTGTCTTTCCTTGACCTGAAGTCATTGAGTATTCTGAGCTTTTCTGGGACATCTTAGTTAACACAGATTTGAAGCATGATGTCACATACCTTGTAGGGGATTCTTGCTTACCTGTACTGTGCAAAAAATATCCTGCTGGTGAATTACACTCTGGTCACAGCTTATCATGGTTATGAATGTCTGTTTGAGGTGCCAGTCTATGAGGATTACAGCTCTAATAGTGCTGGCACTGGAGAGAGTATTAAGAGCTGATAGTTGTGGTAATTTTCCCTATTTTTTCAAAGACATTACCAATTCATTTGTTAAAACAGATCTGTGACTCATTTAACTTTCTCCCTTTATATTTTAAAATCTCTCCTAGTTTTGAGTTTTTGTACAGTTAAATACATATTTTGGTAGAAGCAAAATGATCTGATGAAAGACTTTTAATCCTAATATCATTGAAAATACTCATTTGTAAAGATTTTTCATATTTTGGGGACTTATACATTTTTAGAAATACTATTTTTCCAAGGAATATTTTTAGAGATAAGTATATATCCAGTCTTTTACTCCTGACATAATTTATATAGATAGAATAGTATTATTAATTTTCAACAATAACATTTCTAGGTAGCCAATTAATATGAATTTTTCAGAGCTAGTACTTTTTGAGAAGTTAAAGTTTTGTAAGCCTTGCACTTAAAAATATTATCTATTAAAGGACTCATAACAAAAAGAGATTCTGAGCACATATGGTTTAATTCTTAAAGTTTTAAAATATTGAAATTTTTGGGACAAGTTTTGCTCTTGATTATTATGCTGAAATTTTCTTCTAGGCTAAATTTATGTTATTATAGTCATTCTAAAGTTTTATAGGCAATTTAGAAATTTATCTCTAAGCTTTATTAGCATTCTAAATTTTAACATTTATTTTCTACTGAGGGTATCAAGATTATAATAATGAACATCTAGTATTAAAACTTGCTGTCTTTATATTAACAATTAGATTACATGTTTTATGATGATATTTCATGCAAATATTTACAGTTTTATGTACAACTAAGCAAAGTCTCCTAAGAGAGGCATTTCATATTTTGGTCAAATCTTGTGTGGCACATTAATTCATGAACTTGATTACTTAACTGAGTTTGAGCTTGTTAGTATATGTGATTACAGGGCTTTTATCTCAGAGTTGCCAAGCTCTAGTGGGCAGGATTTGTGTCCAACTTGATTTGCATAGGATCAAACAGGGAAGTTCCCTGTTGTTGGTGCTAGAGGTAGGATTTTTGTTTTTTCTTTTTTCAGGGTGAAGGAGGTTTGTTGCTATTTTTCTCTTTTTAAAAAAGATACGTGTCTTGAACTTGGGGTTAGGCAGAGACACACATTAGCATTTTTATGACAAGCTTGATTGCTCAAGTTAATATTAATTGTTCATTTAAAACTATTGAAATTGCAATAATCTTTAACCAGCAAATATGGAGTGAGGCTAAGATGCCAACAGTCCTATTATTTTCAGAATTAGAAGCCGGGCTCGGTGGCTCAGCCTGTAATCCCGCGCCTTTGGGAGGCTGAGGTGAGTGGATTGCCTGAGCCCACAGGTTCGAGACCCGCCTGGGCAGCGA